TCATTCCCGAATATGGTATCATTATTGACGAAGTAAAAGTCGGTATTGACCAAATCACTTTTGGGGATTTAAAAAAACTGATATGTAAACAAAATCCGAATATCTTTAAAGCATATGAAGCTGTAAAAATGAACCTATGGATGGTTAAGAGTCTTAGCCAAGGAAACGATGTGTGGAAAAAAACTTAAAATATTGACCAAGGAGAAGGACCCTGAAACAAAAATCATTGAAGAACTCGAAGAGATTGTTTTGGGTTCTTCACGTTTAATTCCAAATAGTATAATCATCGTACAACCTCCGCCTCCCGCTACCACTGGTAAGTGTCTTCCAATGATTTACCTCTTAAATAAGAAATTTGCAGTCCATTTTGATTCTCATTCATCGTTCATCCTTTCAGCAACCATTTTAGCTGATATGCTTTCTTCGCAACAACCTTTCTCTCCTTATCGACAAAGTTTTAGTCACAAGTTCTATGATCGCAAACAAGCTATGGATAAGATTGCAAAAGTCGCCAACAATAATTATCTCAAACGTTTGAGTAGTAATCATAAAGATCAACAATTTATATTGATTCCTGGTGGATCAGAATAGGAAAATCGCGAGCAGGAATGGAGTCACAACATCTGGTCACCCATGCAGAAGAATCAGTATTGGCAAATTTAACTGTTGAAATAGAATTGGTTAAGGCCGCCCTTAATGATCCCATTTATATATTTATCGATTTAATTAATGGATATAACTACGACCAACAAATTGATGAACATCATGCAAAAGTACGAATAGGAGTGCGTGTTGCAAAAGCTGCGGGCTTGATAGACAATACGCCGAATTTCATTGAGCTCTATTGCCTTGATAATGTGATAAAAGAAATCCTTCGCCGCCGTTTCAAAGAAAAAGGTCGATCTCTTGAAGCTGTCATTATACATATCGATGAGTATCAAAGATACATTGATTACGTTCACCATTATAAAAAAATATCATGGGAGGACGCCCGCATCTTCTTCAAGAATATGCTACAAGAGATTGGTGCTGTTATGCGCAGTCAGGCTATACGAAAGCAAGAAGGTATTGAGGAATACTTTATTATCCCGATATGCAC